TCGGGTGGATGTAGCGCCGAGGGGGGCGGGTTTTTTCTCACATGTGTTGGGAACTTCTCTGGGATGTTCAATTGAAGGATGTGTTAACAGGGGGTTAGTGGTGGCCTGGTGGCTAAAGCTCCCGCTTCGCACTTGGAGGGCCCAGGTTCGATTCCCAGCGGGTGGAAACATTTCGACACATTTCCTTACACCTGTTGTCCTGTTCACCTAGCAGCAAATAGGTACCTGGGTGTTAATCGACTGGTGTGGGTCGCCTGGGGGACAAGTTTCAGGACCCCAATGGAAATAAGTTAGTCCTCGATGATGCACTGACTTTCTTGGGTTATCCTGGGTGGCTAACCATCTGGGGTCAAAAATCTGAACGAAATCTTATCTTAACATACTTTTGTGAGGGAGGGATATGGGGCAAGGTTGGATCATATATATGTCACGTGGCGCATTGATGTCGAATCCGTTCGCAATGTTGATGCCCCACATTCGAATCACAGGGCTGTGGTAGTGGAGGTGAGTTGGAAAGAGTTAGCTAGACAGAAGATGGGTTACTGGAAGTTAAAGTTCTCACACATCGTTCATTGGGAGCAGATCGTCGTACTCTCCTCAGTTTGCATTTCCCCCTAGTCTTGTCCAAGCTGGATTATGGTGACCAAATCTATTCTGCGGCCACTCCCGCAACTTTGTCTAAGTTAGATCCCATTCATTACCAAGGTCTCCGTGTGTGCCTTGGTGCCTTTCGTTCATCCCCTGTTGAGAGCCACTATGCAGAAGCGAATATTCCATCCTTGTCCAATCGCCGTGATGATCATTGCCTTCGCTATTATGTTCTATCTCATGACCTCCACAATCCTTCTGTATATAGGATGGTCACTGATGTTAGTAGACGTTCTTTATTTGTTCGTTGCCCTGCTTACTTTGTCCCTTTTCTCTCCGCCTCCATTCACTCTTGTCTTCTCTTCAGTTACTGCTTTTCTGTGTTCATGTAGCATCTCACTTTTCCCTGCCCCAATGGGAAGTTCAAGCTGTTCTTTCCCTTTGACATGCAGGAAGCCACCGTTGATGGCTTCCTGTTCTCTTTTTCTTGACCACTTCCGCTCTCATTCTCATGCCATCGCAGTGTACACCGATGGTTCTAAGTCTTCTGATGGTGTCGGAATCGCAGCAGTGTTTCCGGACAGTGTTGTGTGAGGACATTTATTATCTTCAGCTAGCATTTTTATGGCTGAATTGTATGCCATTCTAGTAGCACTTATCCATATAGCATCAATGCCTGGGTCACCATTTGTGGTTGTTTCAGACTCCCTTAGTGCATTACAGGCTATAAAAAAAATTGATACACCTCACCCCCTAGTTCTTCGTATCCAACTTTGACTATGTCGTATCTCTAACAAACACAAAGATATTGTTTTTTGCCGGGTCCCTGGACATGTTGACGTACAGGGCAATGAACAGGCAGACACTGCTGTGCGGTCAGCAGTACATGACTTCCCAGTTTCATATAGAGGTGTTCCATTCACAGACTATTTCGCTGAAATTGCTGCCCACCTTCGCACCTGTTGGCAACAACGTTGGTCTGATCTGCTCCATAACAAACTTCATTCTATTAAACTGAGTATAGGTTTCTGGCCATCTTCTTGTCATCAGTGTCGAGGTTGGGAGACTACTCTCTCCCGTCTTCGCATCGGCCACACTCGTCTTACTCACGGGTATCTCGTGGAGAGGCGCCCTGTTCCTCTCTATGAGAATTGTCAAGTTCCAGTACCTGTTAGCCACATTCTGTTGGACTGTCCCCTTTATCAATGAGCACGCAGAATTTACCTCCAATGTCGTCTCCTCTCTGCTGCCCTTTCTTTACCTTCCCTTCTTGCTCATGGACCCTCCTTTAATCCAGACTCTCTCATTGACTTTTTGACAGCGACCAATTTACTACACAAACTCTAACGATGATGCCTCTAGCACTCTCCTCGGTCCTTTCTACCTTACTCTCTAGCTACCCTCTACCCCTGCACCATCCACTGCCCTACTGCACTCCATACCGTAATAATCATCCCTTTCCCACTTGCCACTCATTTCCCCTGCATCCTTCCCTGCCCTGCTGCGCTGTATAACCCTTTCGGTTTAGCGCTTCTTTTTTATTATAATTATATAATAATGTAGGGAAAAAAGGCAGATATTATGGTGAATGTCAAAAGTGTACCAAATGTATCTTTTTCTGCATGAAGGCAAGGTATATTATATTATTTTACATCACCAGGAATTTGAGTTTGGCTTGTTTTATTAGTCAGGAGTGTCCAGTCGTAGTGCCAGGACGTGCTGTCATGCTGCCAAGTATGACAACACCGAATATTTTTTTTCTTATTTGTTTCTTGGCCGATTTTATTGGAACTTTGTCACAGTTCATTATATATATATGCTTCTGAAAGTACACCAAAAATAAACAAAATCGGACGAAAAATATTTTTTTTTAATGCACTCTCCTCTGAAGCTCTCGCTTCACACGGCGAGGGTCAGAGTTCGATTCCCGACAAGGGTAGAAACATTGGAGGTGTTTCCCTACACCAGTTGTCTATGTTTCCCATCAGTACAATGGGTACTTAGGTGTTAGTCGACTGGTGTGGGTCCCATCCTGGGACAAAACTGACCTAATTTGCCCCAGATGCTCTGCATAACAAGTAGTATGTCGTTAATGTAAGCTATGGCCTGTATAATTTGTACATGTATTTGTAGAAATAAAGATATTATTATTATTATTATTATTATTGTTATTATTATTATGTTATTATAAAAAGTATCATCATTGGCTTTGCATCTCTTGTCTTGAATGTTCTCACTACCCATCCGATCATTTTCTTCGCAGATGTGATAGTGTGAGATCCACAGACATTACCACTCCCAGGTCCTTCACATTAATTTTCCGCTTTATTATGTAATTACAGTTTGCAGTATACTCAGTTCTTTGTATGATTTCCTAGAGTTTTCCAAAACGGAGAAGTTGGAATTTGTCTTCACTGAACATCATATTGTTCTCCGTTGCCAATTGGAAAACTTGGTTTATATCATCTTGGAGATTTGCCGTGTCCTCAGTGGATGACAGTCTCATGCAGATCCTAGTATCGTCTAAAAAGGATGATACGGTGCTATGGTTTACATCTTTCTCTGTCTGATATGAGGATGAGGAACAGGACAGGGGCGAGTACTGGGCCTTCTATAACAGTTCTTCACTAAGGCAGCTTCCGATTTAATTCTGTTTACCACTACTCTTTGTGTTCGATTGGTTAGAAAATTGAAGATCTATTTGCCCATTTTGCCAAGTTTTCCCTTTAGCACGCTTTTTGTGTGCTATTACACCATGATCGCACTTATCAAAGGCTTTTGCAAAATCTGTGTATACTACATCTGCATTCTGTTTGTTTTCCAGTGCAACCAAACCCATATCAAAGTGATCTAGTAGTTACGAGAAGCAGGAGCTATCTGCTCTGAACCCATGTTGCCCTGGATTGTGCAATTGTTGGGAATCTAAGTGGTTTGCAGTCGTGCTTCTTAGAACTCTTTCAAAGATTTTTATGATGTGGGGTATGAGAGCTATTGGTCTATAGTTCTTAGCTATTGCTTTGCTGCCACCTTTATGAGCTGGGGCTATATCCGTTGTTTTTAGTGACTGGAATCTCACCTGTGTCAATGCTTTTTCTCCATAGCATACTTAGAGCCAGAGAGAGCGGTTTCTTGCAGTTCTTAATGAACACAGAGTTCCACGAATCCGAGCCTGGGGCTGATTGCATTAGCATGTTGTGAATGGCTTTCTCAAAATCTAGTGGAGTTAGAGTTATGTCAGATATTTGATATAAATTGAGAGGGTTTTGAGGCTCATTCATGAAAAACAATATTTGGATTGTCTATCTTTAGACTGATTAGTGGCTCGCTGAACACATAGCAGTATTGAAATTTCAGTATCTCACTCATTTCTTTGTTGTCATCAGTGTGTAAGATCCATCTTGTCTTAACAGGGGCTCTATGCTAGAAATAGTTTTTTCCTTGTTTTTGGCATATGAAGAGAAATATTTCGAATTTCTTTTAATTTCACTAATCGCTTTTAGCTCCTCTTGTTTCTCCTGGATCCTCTATGAGCCCTTTAACTTAAGCTCAATATTTTCCATTTCCCTGGTTTGCGCTTCCTTCCGTGTTTCAGATAAACTAACATTCTTGAGGAGCTCAGTGATGCTTCGCCTTCTCCTTCGCTTCTCCAGTTAACTTCTCTTTTTTTTTTCCTAGGGGAATATGCCTTGAACATACTTCAGCTACCAGGAAGCTGATCTTTTCGAGGCATGGTTAGGGACCATGTTATTTAAGATATCTTCCCAACATGTTTTATTTAGGACATGGTTTACCTGGTCCCAGTTGATGTTCTTGTTGTTGAAGTTGAATTTGATGCAGGCACTCTCATAGCTGTATGCATTTTGCTGATCAGGACCCCGGTGCATGTAAGTCTGGACTTCGATTAGACTGAGATAAATATTAGTTGCTTTTTATATTGTTATGTTTCTTACCAGGTCCTCATTATTTGTGAAAATAAGGTCTAGTGTGTTCTCCAGTCTTGTTGGCTCCACTATCTGCTAGCTTAGGGTGCGTTTAATGCAGAAATTCAGCAACTCACGTGTGTGTGACTTATCTGAACTGCCTCCAGAGATTATTTCTTCTACAACATTAATTTCTACGTTCCTCCATATTGCATGTCTTAGATTGAAATCACCATGCAGCAAGATGCTTGGGGATGGGGATGGAAGGTTTTCCAGACAATTTCGATAGCTGTTCCTTGAACTGTTGGGAAGTTGCATCTGGCGACACAGTGACTAAGATTTGGTTCTCGAATTTTATTGTTAGAACTTCAACTGCATTTGTGGTGATCAGTTTCTCCATGTAAGTAAGTGACTCTTTGACATACAGGCCAACCTCCCCTCCTCATGTTGCCTGCTCAGTCTGTCGCATCTGAATAGGTTATAACCTGGCATCTATATTTCGTTGTCAAAATTATCCTTTATGAGAGTCTCTGTGAATGCCGCAAACATTGCATTCGACTCCGTGAGCAGTCCCTTGATGAAAGGAATTTTATTTGTTGATGGCTTTAGACCCTGTATGTTTTCAAAGACAAATGTCATTATCTTGATGGGATTTAGGGGCGTTTTATTTGCTGGCTCTAATGTCTGTTATTCTCGAGTGGAGGCAAGTGACTGTGCCTATGTTCCAGAAGTGTTTTCATTTGGTGTAAGATTACTGTCATGCATGCAGAGTGCAAAAATTATAGGGGAATAAGTGTACATGGTAAAGTGTACGGTAAAGTTATTATTGAATTAGTTAAGAGTAAGACGGAGAGTAGGATAGCAGATGAACAAGGAGGCTTTAGGAAAGGTAGGGGGTGTGTAGACCAAGTGTTTACAGTGAAACATATAGGTGAACAGTATTTAGATGCAGGTAAAGAGGTTTTTGTGTCATTTATGGATTTGGAAAAGGCGAATGACTGTGGATAAGGGGGCAATGCGGCAGATGGTCCAGATGTATGGAATAGGAGGTAGGTTATTGAAATCAGTGGATAGTGAGGCTCATGTCGGAATAGGTAGGTGAGAGGGAGATTATTTCCCAGTAAAAGTAGGTCTTAGGCAGGGATGTGTGATATCACAATGGTTGTTCAATATGTTTATAGATAGGATTATAAGAGAAGTGAATGCTCGGGCGTTGGCTTGAGGAGTGGGATTAAAAGATAAAGAATCTAACACAAAGTGAGAGTTGCCACAGTTGCTCTTTACTGATGACACTGTGCCATTGGGAGATTCTGAAGAGAAGTTGCAGAGGTTGGTGGATGAGTTTGGTAGGGTATGTAAAAGAAGAAAAGTAAAAGTGAATTTAGAAAAGAGTAAGGTGATGAGGATAACCAAAAAATTAGGTAACGAAAGACTGGATATCAAATTGGAGGGAGAGAGTATGGAGGAAGTGAATGTATTCAGATATTTAGGATTGGGCTTGTCAACAGATGGGTCTATGTAAGATGAGGTGAATCATAGAATTGACGAAGGGGGAAAGGCGAGTGGTGCACTGAGGTGTCTGTGAAGACAAAGAACTTTATCTATGGAAGCAAACAGGTGAAAACATAAAAGAGTATACAAACGCTCTTATATGAGTGCAAAGCTTGGGCGGTGAATGTTGCAACAAGGAGAAGGCTGGATGCAGTGAAGATATCGTGTCTGAGGGCAATATGTGGTATGAATGTAATGCAGAGAATTCGTAATTAGGAAATTAAGAGGTGCGGGATTAACAAATTATACAGAGGGCTGAGGAGAGGTTGTTGAAGTAGTTCAGAAATGTAGAAAGAATGAATTTGAGAGTGTATAAATTTGCAGTGGAGGGAAGGCAGGGTAGAGGTCGCCTAGGGAATGTTGGTGGGAGTAAAGAAGGTTTTGTGTGCGAGGGGCTTGGACTTCCACCAAGCATGCGTGAGCATGTTAAATAGGAGCGAATGGAGACAAATGGTTTATGGGACATGACATGCTGTTGGAATGTGAGCAGGGTAATATGAAGGGACTCAAGGAAACCAGCAGGCTGGACTTGAGTCCTAGAGATGGGAAGTACAGTGCCTGCACTCTGAATGAGGAGTGTTAATGTTCCAGTTTTATAACTATAGTGTAAGCGTGCTTCTGGCAAGACAGTGATGGAGTAAATGATGAAAGTTTTTCATTTTTTGGGCCACCCTGCCTTGGTGGAAAACGGCCGATGTATAAATAGTAATAATTATATATTATATATATATATATATATATATATATATATATATATATATATATATATATATATATATATATATAATATAATGTCGTGCCGAATAGGCAGAACTTGCGATCTTGGCTTAAATAGCAACGCTCATCTTGCCATATAGGACAAGTGAAAATTTGTGTATGCAATAATTTCGCCAAAATCATTCTGAACCTAACGAAAAAAATATATTTCATGTTTGTTCAGTATTAAATTTCTGTAAACAAATCTAAAATATATTTAGTTGGGTTAGGCTAAAATAAATTGTTCTTGTTATAATAAGGTTAGGTAAGTTTTCTAAGATTCTTTTGGAGTAAAATTAAAAATTTTTACATTAACATTAATGAAAAAATATATCTTTAAACGTATAAGAGAAATTTTTAGAAAGGACTTAATTTTAAATGACTTCTTGCTAATTGACCAGTTTTACATATTCGGCACGACATATATATATATAAAGGTAGGGAAGATTTTATTGAATTTATGGATTTAGAAAAGGCATATGATAGAGTGGATAGGGGAGCAATGTGGCAGATGTTGCAAGTGTATGGAATAGGTGGTAAGTTACTAAATGCTGTAAAGAGTTTTTATGAGGATAGTGAGGCTCAGGTTAGGGTGTGTAGAAGAGAGGGAGACTACTTCCCGGTAAAAGTAGGTCTTAGACAGGGATATGTAATGTCACCATGGTGGTTTAATATATTTATAGATGGGGTTGTAAAAGAATTAAATGCTAGGGTGCTCGGGAGAGGGGTGGGATTAAATTATGGGGAATTATATACAAAATGGGAAGTGACACAGTTATTTTTTGCTGATGATACTGTGCTTATGGGAGATTCTAAAGAAAAATTGCAACGGTTAGTGGACGAATTTGAGAGTGTGTGTAAGGGTAGAAAGTTGAAAGTGAACATAGAAAAGAGTAAGGTGATGAGAGTATCAAATGATTTAGATAAAGAAAAATTGGATATCAAATTGGGGAGGAGGAATATGGAAGAAGTGAATGTTTTCAGATATTTGTGAGTTGACGTGTCAGCGGATGGATTTATGAAGGATGAGGTTAATCATAGAATTTATGAAGGAAAAAAAGGTGAGTAGTGCATTGAGGAATATGTGGAGGCAAAAAAAATGTTATCTGTGGAGGCAAAGAAATGAATGTATGAAAGTATAGTAGTACCAACACACTTATATGAGTGTGAAGCTTGGGTTGTAAATGCTGCAGCAAGGAGACGGTTGGAGGCAGTGGAGATGTCCTGTCTAAGAGCAATGTGTGGTGTAAATATTATGCAGAAAATTCGGAGTGTGGAAATTAGGAGAAGGTGTGGAGTTAATAAAAGTATTAGTCAGAGGGCTGAAGAGGGTTTGTTGAGGTGGTTTGGTCATTTAGAGAGAATGGATCAAAGTAGAATGACATGGAGAGCGTATAAATCTATAGGGGAAGGAAGGCGGGGTAGGGGTCGTCCTCGAAAAGGATGAAGGGAGGGGGTAAAGGAGGTTTTGTGTGCGAGGGGTTTGGACTTCCAGCAAGCGTGCATGATCATGTTAGATAGGAGTGATTGGAGACAAATGGCATTTGGGACCTGACGATCTGTTGGAGTGTGAGCAGGGTAATATTTAGTGAAGGGATTCAGGGAAATCGGCTATTTTATATAACCGGACTTGAGTCCTGGAAATGGGAAGTACAATGCCTGCACTCTAAAGGAGGGGTTTGGGATATTGGCAGTTTGGAGAGATATATTGTGTATTTTTATACGTATATACTTCTAAACTGTTGCATTCTGGGCACCTCTGCAAAAACAGTGATTATGTGTGAGTGAGGTGAAAGTGTTGAATGATAAAAGTATTTTCTTTTTGGGGATTTTCTTTCTCTTTGGGCCACCCTGCCTCGGTGGGAGACGGCCGTCTTGTATTATTATATATATATATATATATATATATATATATATATATATAATATATATATATCGTGCCGAATAGGCAGAACTTGCGATCTTGGCTTAAATAGCAACGCTCATCTTGCCATATAGGACAAGCGAAAATTTGTGTATGCAATAATTTCGCCAAAATTATTCTGAACCTAACGAAAAAAAATATATTTCACTGTGTTTGTTTAATATTAAATTATTGTAAACAAATCTAAAATATATATAGTTGGGTTAGTCTAAAATAAATTGTTCTTGTTATAATAAGGTTAGGTAAGTTTTCTAAGATTCTTTTGGTGCAAAATTAAAAAACTTTACATTAACATTAATGAAAAAAATATATCTTTAAACGTATAAGAGAAAATTTTACAAAGGACTTAATTTTAAATGAGTTCTTGCTAATTGACCAGTTTTACATATTCGGCACGACATACATATATATATATATATATATATATATATATATATATATATATATATATATATATATATATATATATATATATATATATATATATATATAATTTTTTTTTTTTTTTTTTTTTTTTTCAACAAGTCGGCCGTCTCCCACCGAGGCAGGGTGACCCAAAAAAGAAAGAAAATCCTCGAAAACAAAATACTTTCATCATCATTCAACACTTTCACCACACTCACACGTTATCACTGCTTTTGCAGAGGTGCTCAGAATACAACAGTTTAGAAGCATATACGTATAAAGATACACAACATATCCCTCCAAACTGCCAATATCCCAAACCCCTCCTTTAAAGTGCAGGCATTGTACTTCCCTTTTCCAGGACTCAAGTCCGACTATATGAAAATAACCGGTTTCTCTGAATCCCTTCACTAAATATTACCCTGCTCACACTCCAACAGATCGTCAGGTCCCAAGTATCATTCGTCTCCATTCACTCCTATCTAACACGCTCATGCACGCTTGCTGGAAGTCCAAGCCCCTTGCCCACAAAACCTCCTTTACCCCCTCTTTCCAACCCTTTCGAGGACGACCCCTACCCGTCCTTCCTTCCCCTATAGATTTATATGCTTTCCATGTCATTCTACTTTGATCCATTCTCTCTAAATGACCAAACCACCTCAACAACCCCTCTTCTGCCCTCTGACTAATGCTTTTATTAACTCCACACCTTCTAATTTCCACACTCCGAATTTTCTGCATAATATTTACACCACACATTGCCCTTAGACAGCACATCTCCACTGCCTCCAACCGTCTCCTCGCTGCTGCATTTACCACCCAAGCTTCACATCCATATAAGAGTGTTGGTACTACTATACTTTCATACATTCCCTTCTTTGCCTCCATAGATAACGTTTTTTGACTCCACATATACCTCAACGCACCACTCACCTTTTTTCCCTCATCAGTTCTATGATTAACCTCATCCTTCATA